ACATATATACATATATATATATATTATAGTTTAAATTTATCAAAATAAGTTATTAAAGAGAAAATGTTATATATTTTTGCAGCATATATATATTTGTTCACAAAGCATGAAATGATTGACTATGAGCAATTAGTAGATGTTAATGCGTTTTTATATCTTCAATCATACATGGGATACTGTTTAAAAACAAAATAGCAAAAATATATAAATTTTAATTAAAAAATCTCGATTTTTTTAACGATGTAAAAAAAACAACGAAAGATCAATTATGCCTTAATTTAATTAATATGCGTAAATAAAAAATGGTGCTCTATTTATTGTATCATAGTATTAACTATACTGTAATGGGTGTTACATGTAATGATATTAAGATATAGATTTATAGACCTAGGACAAAATATGAAATTATAAAAATCATCACATAGGAATTACTTTTTTTAAATTGAATTTATGAAAAATATTTTGCATGTCAAAACTATTATTTTATAGAATTAAAAAAATTTTAAGCATATATTTATAAAACACAAGTAGTTCAAATGTCATTAATATTATACATGCATTTTAAAATTAGAATTAATATTAATTATAATAATAGATAAAGGTAAAATTTCATATATCGATACAAATGTGATAAATGCGATAAACTTTAATGAATGAATGACTTTAATAAGTGACTTATTTTTTTATAAGAAAATAAAAAGTAAATACATTATTCATTTAATCTCATTTCTCTTGATTACCCTTCCTTTTAAATTCTAATCTGTTTTAATTTCTAAATTAGAAAAAAAGACCATTAAATTACCAATAAAATAATCAATTCCATAAATTACCAATTTCAATAGAATTTTATTATTTATGATGACTTTATACATGAATTACAGAGTTAGACGAGGTTTATTACGTTTAGCTTCCTTTTTTGCTTTTTTCTCATTCAAAAATTGCCTGATCATCTCAGTAGGCAAAATCTCTCCTCTATAAGTTCTTGGTAATCTTTCCTTATTCAGGATATTTAATCTTTCTTTGACATATTCCTTAGCATCAAATGCTTCAGCTTCTTTAATTTTGCTGACTAATTCAGTTTGAAACAGTTTTTCTTTCTTTTGATTTCTCTTAAATCTTGTTTTTTCCCATATAAATTTCATTTTTTTGCGTAACTTTCTTCGCTTATGTTTTTTTATTTTCTTATGTCTGATCCTTATCATACGTACTGCTTGTTTTTCTACGATTTTTTCATTTGTAGGTAAATCTATGGATTTTTCTAGTATAGGAAAGTCATATTTAATAGGCAAATAGTTCACAGGTCTGTATAATGGTAGAATCTTGACAACAGGCATTTTAATATTTTTATGTATAGATATTCCAGAATCTATGTTCAATGTTCCTGGTATAAACTTAATTCTGTGTGTCGGCTCTGTCCCATATGGCATACCATAATTGTCAGGTAAATAGGAAAGTATAGTCATAGTACCTGATCTTTGTGTCGAATATTTTGCAACAGCAGCAGTATCTAATATAACAAGAAAAATTAAATATATCATAAATTATCTCAAATGTATAAATATATAATTTAAATAAATGTTTATTATTATGTTTACTGTTTATCAATATAGATTAACTTCAATCTTGTTTAATTTACTCTTTATCTTTTTCTAATTTTTATACTTGAAGAAAAGATAAATTAAATTGAGATTACGATTATCATTAAAATCTACATTGGTAGAAATGACATTAAATATCTTTATAAAACAGATAGGTTATGATTACTTTACACTTAATTACATAAATGGTTACTGAACATACTTAGTTTGCTGATTGCGATTTTGCGAAATGCGGCGTATAACATATTGATCGACATTGCGATAGTAAATTTTGTCGCCAATAATTTAATAAATATATTTTACTTAGTCACACATACATTCACACGTTCCATTTTTTCCTTTCTGAACTTTGGCGACATTAGTGTCGGTCCACAATAGATGATTTAAGCTTTAAGAAGTAAGAAATTAGCCAATCATAATCGAATATGAGAAAAATAATCGACTATAATTGGTCAATTTCTTACGATTTAAAGATTAAATACTTATTATGGACCGAGATTTAGGCTCCTAGTACATAAAAAAACTTAACCAATAAATCCCAGTCTACAATAGGTAATTTAAGCCTTAAGCCATAAGAAATGGACGAATCATAGAAGAACAGGAGAATAATCGACTATGATTGGTCAATTTCTTAAGGGATTTAGGTTTAATGTTACACATAGTATCGCTGTTCATAGAGTTTGCATTTGCTAATGCTATTTTGGCTCCGTAAATAAAGTTGATACACAGAAGTGAAACTGGTATCATGGTTTCCTGCAACACAAGAAAAACGGGGGCACCAAAAAAAACTCATTTATTCTGTTCGTTTTTTTGCTGTGATTGATTCGCGCGTTCCGTCCCGCTGTGGATTTCCGCGCCATGGGACACCAATCTAACTTCCACTGCAGAAGTTCCGATCGTTCTAGCAACTTTTATAAGTATTTTATGTAAAAATAGTTTAAATAGTTGATCAACCAGTAATAGCGCAGTAATTAATTAATTTAATAAATAAGAGATACAACAAACTGATTTAATTTATCATATTTATTATATTAATATATATTAATATTACTATTAATTTGTATTCATATTTTCAAGCCTTTGTGATAATATAACTTCAACGTAAATTTGCATTTTTTATTCTTATAATCGTAGAGACGAAAAAAATTAATAATTTTTTAAACAGAGTTTAAAGAAAGAAAAATTATATTAATATAAATTTTATTTCAGATTATTTTGTTGATCCAGCAATACTGGATTATTGGATATGAAACATGTCTGCAAATATCAGTAAAAGATAATCAAATTTATAAATTTATATATTCTAATCGAGAAATCTTGTATTATAATTTTTTATATTTTATTTTTCCAGAACATACTGTTGTAGCCAGACCTACAATAATACTTACTAATAATAAAAGTAGTCCGCATGGTAACAAAAGTAGTTCGCATGAATCTCGGAAAAAGTCTTTCGAAAGATGACACAAATGTGTGATCGCCGAAATTGCGATCGCAGAAACGCATTGCGCGAGAATATTGCGAAAAGTCTATCAGCAAATTCCTAAATTTGATGATCGAACCGAGCGTGATATTAATCAATCAATATCACGCAATCAATCGACACAACCGATCGGAATGCTGATCGGGCATCGATCAGTCTATATATAATCGGTTACATAAGGTGGAATAAGAGGAATCGAAAATTACAAGTCGTTCGGAAACAATATTATAAAAATCGCGCAAGATATTACGGAATCTCGTCGCGAAGTTCACGCGAGCCGTAGTATCAGTTCAGGTGTCACACTCGGTCGTCGGCCGCCAGAGTAACGCGAGACGCGCCGAGCCGCCCGACGACGTTCAATTGTATGTGTAAAATATAATCATTATAATATCAAGTATTTGTGCACTTGTTAAAATAAATCAATTAAAGTAAAGAAAGCGTGTGTTACTGATTTCAAGAGGACCCCTACAGTCCTTTGATCCTGCTCAGAGTTCCAACTCCTTAGGCTTGGCAAACCAGACTATCTCGAATATTAATGTCGTAGCCCATCTGGGGTACAACAATACATTATAGAACTTATATGGAATTATATATGGAATTACATAGAACATCCAATGTATATGAGAAACTCAACTATATAAACAAGTAATATGCTAATATATAATACAACATACAGTATGTAAGATAATTTCTGTGATATTATTGTAATGCATATATTGTGATAAATATACGAAGCATGGTATTTCTATTCATAGGTACATAAATATTGGTGCAAATATATTGTATTTGTGAAGTTATTTATAAGTTTATTTTGTAATAAATCTATTTTGTATATAGTGTTTATTTTTGTCTTTATTAATTTTACATACATATTTAATCATCTAATTATTATTTAATATCTATTTCAAATTTCGATTTGAAAAGATTATATGTATATATGAGACGAACCTCTACAATTTACTTTAGTTCGCATTCCACCACCAGATGACAGTGTCTCATCTTGTGTTGCCCATTTTATATACAGAGCTTTCATTTCTCTTAGTATATGTTCAGTGTTTGATAGCACGGTAACGAGCTCTCCGAATGCACTGTATGTCAACGTCATTTACAACTCATGGTCGTGACTCGCATTTCGACGCGATCTATCTGTAATCAACATTATAAGGTGTTAAATATTTACTGAAGTGAAAAATGGTGAGTGTTCATCATGAGTGTTCTGTAAAAAACTTGTCTTCTGCTTCATAATGTTATCTTGCAAAAAGATTAATTTTTTAAATGCAATATAAATTTCACGAAACTACTGAGATTTTTTTTTGTTACGTTCCCTTCGGGATTGTTTAACGTGGCTTCCGTCAGGCCCTTCGACGATATACCAAAACTATCTGAGATTAATCTATCGGAAATTACGTTATTGTCAATGTGATTGTATCAATTCCTTCATAACGAATTACACTATGTATATATTTCTATCAATGTAAATTAATTTAAATCTCGATTTTAAAATTTATTTTTTATCTTTCATTAGTTTTAAAAATTAGAAAAAGATAGTAAAAATTAAATCAAGATTAAAATTAATCCATATTCCCTAATAAGAAGAGAAGGTATGTGTCACAGTGGGGTCCGACCACGAACCAGTTGTGAAAATTTGTAATTATTATTTTTGCGAAAAATATCTTAGCCAGGAATCGAACCTGGATCTTCTGCTTACTGGGCAGACATCTTAATCTTTCGATTACCGAGCATGTGATGATATTTATTGCAATAACATGCTTGGAACAATAGTTAAACAATACACATATGTATATTCTCGAAATGAGAATAGAGTAGAATGGGCATAGAAATAGGCAATAATTTTCATGTATATTTTTTCATGTACTTTTTTTAATTTTCATATTTAATTTTTTTCCTAGAGCATCCTCACGTACAATGGAGGCGCTGTGATAGCCATGAAGGGTAAGAACTGTGTAGCGATAGCGGCTGATCGTAGATTCGGCATCCAGGCGCAAACAATAACATGCGACTTCCAGAAGATTTATGAGATGGGACCGCATCTATATGTCAGTCTGCCTGGTCTTGCCACTGATACTCAAACTGTTATGGAGAGGCTACGCTTTCGCCTAAACTTATATGAACTGAAGGAGAACCGAAGAATTCATCCCAAAACGTTTACTGCCATGATTTCTAATTTGCTGTATGAGAAGCGATTTGGACCATATTTTGTGGAGCCCATAGTTGCTGGTCTTGATCCTGTTACATTTGAACCATTCATTTGTAATATGGATCTGATTGGATCTAGAAATATGGCAGAGGACTTTGTGGTGGGTGGAACATGTACGGAGCAACTTTATGGCATGTGCGAGTCACTTTATGAGCCAAATTTAGGACCCGAGGAACTATTTGAGACTGTTAGCCAAGCTTTAATTAATGCATTTGATCGAGATGCAATATCTGGATGGGGTGCCGTGGTGTATATCATGTAAGAATTATAAAATTAGTATAAAATTAATGTGACAATGTAATTAGTATTTATATAAATTAAGTTAATGGAAATACTGCAGATTTTAGATATGTGTATATTTGTTTTCAGAGAAAAGGATAAGGTCACAAAAAGAACTGTCAAAACGCGAATGGACTAAATGCTTTTATATCGATATATGCAATAAAGTTTTCATAATTATTGTAATTAAATTTAAGATATGTAAACAAAAAGAGATGGTTGTTAATTAAATTCCAAATATCCTATCTTTCTATTAAAATTGACTTATTTAAAGATCGACAAGAATAGAGCTAATTTTGATTTCATTATGTTCTTAGTCACTTTTGGAGCGATTAATACCCACTGCAATCAAAAATGTTAAAAAAATTGACAATTAAGTTATTTTCTCTCTTTACAACATCGAATTATATTAACCGCTTTAATTGTTCCTTTTATCTATTCAATCATATTATGATGCTATAACAGAATACGTTTATTTTGATGTAATGTTGAGTATAATATAATTAAAAGTATTACAAAAAGTATTACATTTTGCTAGCAAAGGAAAGCTATACTCTACCAATTTCATATACAAATAAAATTTGTAATGACATTATCAAGAATTGTCAAATTAATATTTGTAAAACTATTAAAATTAGCTTTTTGAATAAATCGAATTATAAAAAAAAAAATAACAATTATCAATTCAAATTGTTTCTTATGCAATTCAGAACTTCGATTACTGATAATGAATTATGATAATTCATTACTAATAATCTTTCCTAATAATATGTATTTAATGCTAATATTGTGTGTGTGTGTGTGTGTGTGTGGGCGCGCGCGCGCGTGTTTCGACAGGTATAAAAACTATGCATATATACAAATACAGATGTTTTTAATTATAATTTTTTTGCGTAAATGCATTATTTTTATTTTATAATTTTTTTTTTGTTTATAAATATGTCTATGGACGCAGCATAGTTGTTTGTATTTTGTTACAAAGAAAAAAATTAACAGATAGATGGATTTTCTAAAATGCTAATAATGATCCTGAAATTAAAAAGATAACACTACATATAAAATGGCGTTAGACATTTCTAACGTTAGACATGTCTAACGTATAATATAAATATAATTATAAATATAATTTATTCAGAAAATAAAAATTTTATTATAAAAATATAAAAAAGGATTAATAACAATCTAACGCAGACGATAATACACAAAGATATTATATAAATTCAATTCTTATTTTTATTTCTAATTTTTTTATAAATCAATTGTATATTATACAACACACACACATATGTTGTTTTGATTAATTAAATATGTATTTGTTGTATATTTATGAAAAGAGTTATATTAAATAATAAGTAGATGCAATATAAAATGCAATGTAAAACATATGCTACAATATTGTGTGTATGAATGTTATGTATGCCGTAGATAACATAACTGGTGTAAATGAAATATATTTTGTATGAACGCGAGTGTGTGTAATATGCATAACATATATGTAATATATTTGCAATGTTTTATATATATTTAGATGACAAAAAATAAATTTATTTTTGTTAAATTCGAATTAATATTTTTATAATTGTTCCATATGTGTTGTAATATCATAATACAATAAGTGAAAATAAAAAAGGATAAAACGGTAAAGCTATATGTCTATTATACATATAGCTTACTGTATTATGATATTACAATACATATGGAACAATTAGAAAAATATTAATTCGAATTTAACAAAAACAAATTTATTTTTTTATAACTCAATTTAAAAGACCTATTAAAAAAAAAATTATTCTACAGATATCAATTTGATTAGTATTAAGTTCCTATAACGTTGTTGTAAATTTTATTAAAATCAATGAGCTATTGCTCGATCTTATTTTACTAGCAAAATTTTTATTACTTCTGATTACATTAATATGTGTTCTGTTGTAATACCATATATCTTAAAAGAAAAAAAATATGATTATCGATTTTTGTCCAAGCTTTTTAAGATGACGCATCAGCAATGATTGATAATGTTTTATGTATAAAGATACACAACCATATATATATATATATAAAAACGGAGATTTTATTATTTGAAATTAGCAGCTCTGATTTCATTTTTGTGCTTCCATCATTATTGAAGACATCCCCAAAATTAATTCAAAATTGGCCCATTATCTTTTTTAGCTTTTAATTAAATACTATAAATATGTGTGCGTGTATTAAAAAACGATTGATGCTTCTGAATTCACTCAAATGAAGAATTTATATATATAAAAGAGAATGACCAATAAATTTAAAATGCTTCGTTTTATCTACCTCACTGAATACAAAGATTTGGTTTTTTTTTTTTTTAATTCACAGTTGAATCAGTAGTATTAATTTAACAAAAATTAATAATTTATTTCTATGTGAATTTATTTATAGCAAATTTATTTATACAAAGATTAGAAGGCCATTTGCATTTAACAATTTAAAGGGAGAAAGATTCTCCTTTAAATTGTTATGTATTGTATTATATACAGTAATAACAATAAGATATTTTCGGAGAAATAATATACTTATCTATTTTTTTTTCATTAACACAAGAACAGAATTATTTTATATTTTTTTACATTTAGTGCACGCATATATATATATGTATATATATTTTTTTATGTATATTATGGTACATAAACTGTCACCTGTATATTGCTTCCTAAATTTCCTAATTTCATATCTCCGTTTATTACTAGATATTTAATATAAATATAAAATATGCTACTCTTTTTATCAGTGATTGTAAGCAACTCTTCCTTATTATTTTACTTTTTGTTAGTAATATTTATCATGGCATAAAAATATAAGCAATAGAATTTCTACTCAAGCTTAAATATTAATCTTAACAATTTTGTCTGTTCAAAAGTTCTGTAAGAAGCTAAACATTACGCAATCATATTAAAAAATTAATTTAATTATTTAATGTATAATAGTATGCATGATAATAATATACAATTTACATTTATCTAAACCATCTCATATCTTTGATTTTATCATCATTTTTAATATCACTTTACGATGCCCAGGCTTCTAACTCTTTCAAGTCATCGTCTTCTTCAGGTTTAGCTTCTATAAATAAGATTTGAAAAATAATTATTTTATTACTGTGAGTTAAATAATAATGTTAAATAAATAATGTTCATAAAATTAATGTATAAAATTAATAATAAAATTAATAAATAATAGTAAATGCTTTTTGATATGCTTTGATATGCTTGATAATAATATATTATAATGCAACTTATAGCAAATTATTCAATATATTTTTAAAATACAAATTTATGGTATTATAATTTACTTGTGCGAGTCTTGCTTGGTGCAACAGGAACTGAAACTGGTACCGACGGTAGTTCATCTGTTGTTGTGTCGATACCAAGTAATTCTTTATCAAGCTGTTCTTGTTGAAGTTCTTCTAATTCTTTCTCTAGCTCATCCTCATCAGCATCCTGGCCAAATGCTACTGGATTAGAAATAGCATCTGAAATTTCTCTGGCTACATCTTGTTGTTCTGCTATATCATCCATCATATCATGTACTTGGTCAACGTCCCTGTAGTATAAATATAAAATATATATCTTTTCAGTATAAACAAAATTATTTAATAAATTATTATACATAACATGTGTAAACCTCAGATAAATTTATATTCACATTTAAGGAGTCAATTTTTTTTCTAATATATTAGATTTTTCTAACATATTTTTTTTTCTAACATATTCATGTTATATAGTTCTTACATAATTTACATAGTACATAATTTAAAAATTAACTTAAAAAATAATCAAGAAATTAATAGCAATTACAAAAATATAAAAATCTTACATGTGTTGATGTGCAGCTTTCATTGCATCTGCAGCACCTTTCATGGTAGTAAGAACGGCAGTGTTTGTGTTAGCACTTTCCAGTGCTTCTCTTTGCATTTCAATGGTAGACAGTGTACCATCAATCTGTTGTAATTGCTTTTCATATCGTTTTTTTCTTTTTAATGCTTGGATGGCAGCTAAAAAATATGTAATATTTTTAATGCATAATTAAATTATATCTAATAAGGAAAGCATTAGTAGTATACTAGCCAATTTTTTGATATCAATCACATCTAGATTGAATTGAGGTACTACTAGCACAAATATAATTTTACAATGGATTATAAATAAAAATAAATTAAAATATGTTATTTTCGTGACTACATTTAAATAAAATATATATAGTAATGGAATATTATTTAAATATTCATTTAAATATAAAAAAGACTTGATAATTTTGGTAATTGTAATAAATTTGTCTAAATTATATTACATTTCTACTGATATTTTGTCAATAAAATTAGCAAATGCTTTGTAAAACTTTTTTTAGCAGATTTAATAATGTCACATATATTTTTTTTTATAAAATACTAAATTTGATTAAGCTACACACACACACACACATACACACACACACACACACACACATACACATACACACACACACACACAACAAAATACAGAAGGATTGCTATATACTTGGTGCTATAAATGTTGAATGTTAAAGCATTAAATTAGTTAATTGATAGAATTCTTTGCCTGGTTATATTAATATTATTTTAGCTTTAAGCAAAATTTAAATATACGTCTTTATTTATTTAAAAAGAAAGACAAAGACAGATATGTGTTTAAGTCTTACTTAAAACTAAAAATGTTAGTGCAACTGAACCTTAACCTAATTAAATGTTTTATAGCATTTATAGCACAAAATATATGACAATTATAAATAATTAATTAATGAACATAGAGATACATAAGATTAATATTTCATGTTCATAAATTTATTGAATGTATTAATTAGCTAAAGATAAAGTTCTCAATTATTTAGAATTTTTAAAAAGTTAAAAATATTGTTATTCTTTAGCTAATCAAATTTGTTTGATAAATTTGTTATGACATATAATATTAGATTAAGATAAATTACAACAATTCAATAGTGGATTACAAATGATGTAAGAGATATAAATAGAGATATAAAAGAATTTTCTTTTTTCTTTTTAACCAAAGTTCTTATATCTTTCATTTTTTCTCATCTTTATGTTAGAAAAAAAAGGAAAATAGATAAACTATGCAAATTCAGTTAAAAACAATCCTAAATTTTGTTCTTTGCAGTTAAACTTTACTATACATTTTTTCTCTTTTTCTCTCTTAAATCTTCAATTAGGCATCTACTTCATTTTAAATATGATAAGAAACACGATACAATACAGCTACAAAGAACAGATCTAATCAAGATTACAGTTGCATTTGACAAATTGTCGAATTAAAGAGATACGAAGATACGCGGAAAATGTGCGTACCTCTCTTATTCTTCGAGGCATTTTTCTTTGCTACTAATATCTCATTGTCTATTTTACTCTCCAGAAATTCCTGCTTCTTTATCAACATATCCTCTGTTTCGCGCAGCTTTTGTATCGCCTCGGCTGTCGAAGGAGCAGCTGGCTCCTTCTTGCCGCCAAACACCTTGCTGAAGAAACTCATCACGTCACGTTTTTCTTCAACTTGCTGGATGTCTAAAAATCACTCTCGATTGTATGATGACGAACGACGAGTTGTACCTTAAAAAGTTAAAATAAGAAGCACATCCACTGCTACAAGATAATTGCCGCCATGTTCTTTCGCGTTTAGGACCTATCCATGCTGTAAGAATACAAGGGCTGTGTTCATAAATTCACTATCAGTACTAAAAATCTATAGAATACGTCACGTAGATTATATGTTTTCAGTAGTACTGGCAGTGAATTTACGAACACAGCCAAAGTGAGGCATTCCCAAGGATGCGCAGAGGTGCGTTCAGAAATAACAGTCGAGTGCACCCAGGTATCATTTTGTCCTTGTTTAATATTCGACGAAAAATACGGATAAAATAATACATCTAGTGCTTCTGAACTCAGCTCACTGATTCAAAGTAGTGTCTGCTTTTCGACCAGTCAGAGTTTGCCCACAAATGATAAAAAGCAATATGGCTTCTTCCATAATATAAGAAAACAAGGTTGTGATAAATAGGTTGTTATAATCATAGACTTAGTTTACCCAATCGTTCAATCCCGATTCACTTCGGAATGAAGTAATATTTCTTAAGCGGATTAATTTCGATCCACTTTAATCCTCTTTTCTTAGCGGAATAAGATCAATTCGGTGTAAACGCTTTCTAAATCCACTTCATTTTGAATCGGGATTGGACGGTTAAGTGTAAACTAAGTCGTAGACATATGAAATATATAGACCGAGCCTTAGTACGAGGGGTATTTGCAGTAAGGGGGGCACTTGTCTGACTTCGATTATTTTCGTAAGTTCTCGAATATATTCGGCTTCTCATGTGACTGTCATATTGTACTTAGTGATTTTTAATCTAACTATGATATATAAAAATATTTTTGAGTGCTTTATGGGTAAACGTAGAGAGCAGTCGTGTTTTGGGTGTCGGAAAGGTTTACGAAAGGAAAACAATTAAAATCAGTTCTTGTTAGAGCTAGAGTAGAGAAGGGATTTAGTAGTTAGACTTAGTGCATAATATAAGCAGAAGAAAAGAGAGTCGAAGCCCCCGGGGACGAGCTAAATTTTGTGTTAAAGTCAGGAAGGAGCAAAGGGAGGATAAGAAACTCTTGAGTCTCATACAGAAGCTCAGAGTCAGAATGAGCAATAAAATGAACTGCGATAGAGAAAATATGGCTTCAAAAAGAGCGGCTACAGAGGAATTCCTGAATGTAGCTCACGAACAAAGTCGGATGGGACAAAAGGATCAAGAACAATGAACAACGGTTAGTAGTAAGAAGAAAAAAACTAGAAAACAGTAAAAAAGATAAGGAGGGAAAATGTGAAAAGAGCGCGCAAGAAGAAAAAAATTTGGTGATGAAATTACTGCGCAAATCGACTAACCAATCACTTTTCAGATGGAAGACATAGAAACAAGCGAGGTGACGACTACGTCCCAATTGATCACTAGCCACTCACAACGCTTGAACAGTGGAAAAATTTTAGACGCTGGCCCCTGTGAGCTAGTGATCAATCGGGACGTGGTCAAACGGGTGTCACTCAACAAGCGTACAGGTAAACGGTAAAGAAAGTGTGACACATGTGGCGCAGGAGAAAGCGGTTAACATGGCGAAAAATGATGCAAGAAGTGATGAGGAATTATAGGAGGCTAAGAGAGGCCTATGTTAACGAAAACAGAGTATTAAAGCATGTTAATGAGATCGACTTTTCACAAGAAAATCCGCAGAAAATCCGCTTTGACGAAAATTGGGCGGACAATTTTAAGGTTACAGTGAAGATTTCAGACGGTCATAACATCACAAAGAAAAATAGTAATTTCTATAAGATTCTGTACATCTTAAAAAAGAAGAATATTAAACTGCGAAAAAGCATGATGTTAAACTTTAGATCAGGAATGATACAATTTTTAAATGCTACAGAGGCGAATGCAGCGATTAGCAAACTGAATGAAGACTCGCCAACGACAAGAATCTTAGCTATTATAGAGGAAAGGAATACTTTTTTCAAGGGAGTGATACCGATGTATGCAGAGAATTTGGTGGATTTGTTCGAAAATATTATGTATCCCGAGATAAGATATTATAAGAATGGAAAGATTGACAAGAAAAAGATGGGATGAAGCCAATAAGATTGAGACATCGGTTGATCAGCTTATAATTACTTTTAAAGGCAATCAACCAAGAACAAAATTAGAGGGAACACTTCTCAGTGCCAGTGAGACCATTTGTGACGCCGATATTATAATGTTACAAGTGCTTTAGATTTGACCATAGAAAGAGTAATTGCAAGAATGAAGAGCGCTGCATTATATGCGGCAGACAGGACAGATGTAGAAACTGTCACAGAGAGCATAGATCCACGAACAAAAAATGCTATGCACATGAGAGGAACCAGAATCTACATATTATTATGGTTCATCATAATGTATCCTTCAGAGAGACTGTACAAATACTAGAAGTAGAGGAAGATAGACCGGCGCAAGTGTACGATAGATACGCTAGACCGGATAATTAGCCGTCTATATAGAGGCAAGGAAAAAGGAAAAGAGGAGAGCTCCACTCCAATACAGAAAAGGGATCCGAAAAGAATAAATTCGATACCAAGATCGAGAAGAAACAAGGGAAAGAGATCTGGACAGAGGAAGTAGAGTGAACTTCGTATCATTCTTCGAATAATTCGGGATTCTTACAGATGATATCAAAGTCAAAAGCAAAGAAACGGATAAACGGATAGAAGAAATAAAAATATTGAATACTACAATCATTTTAATTTGAGAGAAGGAGACATCCTTCAGTAAGGACAGTAAGAACAAGAGAGGCATGGCAATACAGAAAGTAAATTGGGAAACAGAAAACAACAAAGAAGAAAGAAGTGCCTCATTAATAGGAAAAGAACTACAGCAAAACTTGGAAAAACAAAAGAATCTTATAGCCGCTCTCCTGGTTGCAATGGATAGAGAAAGCTCCATAAAAGATAGAAAAATCGGAGAGAGCAACGCATAGAAAGGATGTTAGGGACAGAGCATTAAAGGAAAAGAAAAGAGATATAGAGAGAGAAGAATTACAGAGAGAGAATTACAGAGAGGAGTAGACAACAGTTCTGAGAGAATGTGAAGAAGGACGAGTCAGATAAGAAATAAATAAAAAATAAATAGCATAAAGACATATTCAAGTAGATAACAGAACAAGAAAATTTACAATGAAAGAGATTCTTATTTAGCTTCAACGTTATTTGTTTTTGAGTTTACATATATTGTTGGTCTCATACAATAAAGTTTTATTATTACGTTAATTTTTTATTTTTGAGTTTATACGCTTATATTGAAGACAATTTTATTAATTTTTAATTATTCAAGTCCTATTGAGTCTATTTGGTTAATTTTATTCATATTTAAGACAGATTGAGCTTTAATTAACATACTAACAGACTTCATAGGTAGAATATAAGTAGTAATATCACTAGTTTAATTAGGCTAATTAGTTTTTTATTTTCGCAATTTTCGCCTAGTTTCCATTTGCATTTTTATTTTTATTATTGATCTCAGAACTGTGATGTATAAAGGTACAAATAATAGATAAGTTAAAGTTAAAATAAGAATCAGACTTTTAAGTTTCTTTAGGATCTCCCGACGAATAGTTTAATATAAAAATATTTAATAATTTGATTAGTAATTAATAATTAATATAGTAAAATTCACTATCAAAATGTTAATTTGGAATTGTAGAGGCTTTAAAATTAAGAAGGAGGAACTAATTAAAAGAATATATGCATATAATATAATTGTCATTACAGAGTTGAAATCTACGAGAAATGTGAGAGTTTATTTATCAGGATATAAGACATATAGAACGGATGAGAATAGAAATAGTGGGGGCGCTGTGATCATTGTCAAAAATGTGATAGAATTTAACATCATGAAGCTCAGGAATCTTAGACATCTAAGTGTGGATAGGATAGGGGTGAACGCTGAAAAATACAAGTCAAAGGATAAATGTCGCGGTATAAAAACAACCGGGGAATAACCTATCGAACGAGAATGGAAAAACCTGTTTGATAACGGCGAGATACTTAAATACTATCGGTTAGAAGATACGTGGGGTTCAGACCACTTTCCCATTGTTTTTGAATGGGATGACATAGTATAAAATACTACAAGAGATCCAATAGGATTACAAGTAAAAGAACGAGATGGGAAGAATTTCTTTAGGAGGCAAGAAGATTATGGAAAGAAGATGAGGAGAGATCCACATTTGGACGAATACACAAGGTTTTGTGATACTATTAGACAGGCTGGAAATATTAGAGAAGAAAGGATCTAGGAATAGAGATGGCCGAACCGGGAATAACTCTAATAGTAGGAAACAACAGGTGAAATGGTGGGATCAAGAATGCGAGGAGGCAATAAAGAACAGGAAAGAGTCTCTCAAAAGATTCATGAGTACTAAGACTACGTCTTCATTGAAATACAAGAGATGCAGGGCAGTAGCCAGGAAAACAATTAGGGAGAAGAAACGTAAAGAATTTGAAGAATTCTGTGTCATTGAACAAACACAATAATATGAAATATGTGAATAAAATGAGGATATTCAAGTCTGCCGAGAGAAAAATGAAATGGAACAAATGGTTTACTAAAAAGAGAAGATTGCATAAAAGCAATAGAAGTGTTGGCTCCGAGTACGGAATATCCTCCGATAATGAAGTTCAGTACTGATTTTCCCCAGGACCATTATAGAAAACTAAATGAAAGTATTGAAGTATCGGAACTGAATAGAGCTCTTGCTATGGTCAAGAGAAATTGGCCCCAGGGAGAGATGGCACAGGGTATTCCAAATAAAACAACTACTAGAAGAAATGAAAGGAGTGCTTTTCAGTATTTTTAATAACATCTGGATGACGGGATACCCCAAAGAGTGGCAAGAATACCAAGTATGTTTCGATAAGCAGGAGCAGGAGAAAGTAAGACCGATAGCTTTGGCATCGTGCGTATGTAAGGTCATGGAACGAATAATCAAGAGAGGTTAATATGGTGGACGGAAAAGGAAAATATATTGTCATCCAATCAGAATGGCTTTAGGAGCTCTCTCATATATATA